CCCGTCCCACTGCGCATGCGTCGCCCCTGCTCGCTGCCGCGGCCCCAGCGCCTGGAACCTGCCTGTGTCCCAGAGCACGACTGAGAACTCTGCGCCAACCGGACGCAGGCACAGGGCACAGGCAGAGAGCAGACGGCATCAGCCCGGGCACAGCGAGACGCCAGCAAGGCCGAGGCACACACAGGGCCAGGGCTCCTGCCTGCCCCCGGGCGCCCTTGTCTGAGCCGCGCTGCATTGAGCACGGGGCCTGGGCAGGGAAGGCCAGCTCCTCCTCACCTGGGCGGCTACGAAGCCAAGCGCAGTCCTGCACTCTCATCCGCCAGGTCAGCTCCTGCCGGGAGAGCCTGGCGCGCCTCCCCAGAGACACGAACTTCTTCGTGTTCCTCAAGAACCGGCGCTCGTTGTGCCTGGAGCCCCAGAGACGGGCGGGCACCAGGCGGCGCAGACAGGCCCGCAGGAACGCGTACACCTGCCAGGGGCTGTTGTGCTGGCGAAGCAGCCGCACCAGGCGCCGCGGGCCCGCGTCGTCCTCGGGGGCGCAGGCACCTGCAGCCCGGCTGGCCGCCGCGCGCACTGGGCAGTGCGTCCTGAGGAGCGCAGCGTAGGGGCACCGGGCGTGGTTCCCCAGCAGCTCGCGGAATAGGGGCCGCATGTGCCAATAGCGCGGGGACAGGCGGCGCGGCCTGCCGGGCACCCCTGCCCGCCGGGGCGTTGAGCCTAGAAAGATGGTCTCCACAAGTGCGCGGGCGCCGGTCAGGCTGGGCCGCAGGGAGCTGAGCAGGAAGGAGGGCCGCAGCCGCTCCCTGTCTCCCGCGCAATAGAGGAAGTGCTTGGTCTCCGCGTACATTCGGGGACCAGGTGCACCCGCGGGCCGCGGTGTGGGTGGGGCGCCCGCCTGGTGCGCGGGGCTCACGGATGGGTAGGAGCCACGTGTCCCGGACCGCTCGCCCTCTGAGGACGTGGCTTCCATGGCGGTTGTGGCGGGTGCCACGGCGTGGGGATCGTGGTTACTAGGCCCACGCGCAGTGCCTGAGTGGGCCAGGGACGCCTCCCCATCGGGCCCCCGTTGCAGCTCACGGCCCGGTTCACACCTGCGCCTCTTGGCGGAAGGACTTCTGCCAGCGCTGCTAGGACGGCGCCTGGCACCCTGGTCCGGCAGGCGCAGGGATACCCCGGCCTCGCCATCGCTGCTGTTCCGAGTCCGGCGCGTTGATCTTGGGCCCGTTTGCGTCTGGCCCAAGTGTCGCGTGGGCCGATGTCTGGGGGACGCACCAGGCCGGGCCTCCGTCGCAGCACAGAGCTCGTACAGAGGCGGCCCGCACACCTGGTAGGCGCAGCTCGGAGCCACCAGCAGGTAGAGCGCGCAGCGCGCCAGCAGGTGAACGAGAACGTCGTCGCCCACGCGGCGCAGCAGCAGCCCCCAAGCGCCGCTGCCGCGCAGTGTCTCGGTCACGGTGTTGGGCAGGTAGCTGCGCACGCTGGTCGTGAAGGCCACCGGCGGCCCGCCACGGGCCCCGTCCAGCAGCGCGAAGCCGAAGGCCAGCACGTTCCTGGCGCCGCGCTCGCAGAGCCTCTGCACGACCCTGGCCACCAGCTCCTTGAGGCAGGACACCTGCGGGGCAAAGCAGTTCTGAGTCCAGGGAGAGGTGCCGGGCGCCCGGGACGCGCTGTTCCGCGGCCCGCCTCGTTCCCCGCGGCCCGCCCCACGCCCCCACCCATCGCGGATCCCTGGGCGGCCCACCTGGCGGAAGGAGGGGGCGGAGGAGGGCGCCCGCGCGCCCCAGGGCACGCACACCAGGCACTGGGCCACCAGCGCGCGGAAGGCCGCCGGGTCCCCGCGCTGCACCAGCCGCCGGCCCTCGGGCCCCAGGCGCCGCACGAACGTCGCCAGCGGCAGCACCTCGCGGTAGCGGCTACGCAGCAGGGCGCGCACGCCTTTGCACCGGGGCGCGCGCGGCATGGCCGGGCCGGGGCCCCCCCACGTGCCAGGGCACCGCGGCGCCGCGCGTCAGGCGGCGCACCTTTGCTCCTGCGCTGCGCCCGCGCCACGGAGGGAGGACGGTCGGGGGCGGGGCCCGCGGGAGGAAGGGGCGGGGCTGGAAGGGGGTCGAGAGGCTGGGACCCGGAAAGGGCCGGGGGCTGGGGCTGGGCCGGGGGCCGAGGACGAGGGCGTGGCCACGCGGCGCGGGGCGGAGTCGGCCCGGAGGAGGCGGGGCTTCAGGGGATGGGGCGGGGTCGCTCCGGGGCCGGGGTCGCGGGAGGCTGGGGCCCAGCCGGCCCCTCCGCCCCGCGGGCCGCCGCGGTGCCGCGCGTCTGCGCCTGGTGTCCCCGGGGGCCCCGGGGCCCTGACCGCGCAGCGGCTTGGTGCGGACCCGCGCGCCGGAACCCCCCAGGGAGCAGGGGCCGCAGCGAGGGTCTCAACAGCCGGGAGGGGCTGAGTCAGCAAGGGCTCCGGGGTAACCCGCGGGAGGGACCTTAACGCGGGGTCCCGGGGGACCGGGCGCATTCCGCGCCCCAGTTCTGTCACTTTATCAGACGGGTCGTGACGCCGGGACCGAGGGCCGCCCTGGGGTCCGGACCCGGAGGGGCTTCGGAAAGGGCGTCGAGGGCGCGCACGGCCGGGGTCCCGGAGCTCCTCCCTGCACGCGGCCCCGCAGGCTCCGTCTCACTTCGGGCCGAAGTTTCTTCTCGCAGGTTCTTAGGCCCCACCGTAAGCAAACCAGCCCAGACAGTCCCTGTTAATCGCCGCCAGGTCGGTCCCATCCAAGGAAGGGAGGAAAACCAGCCGCTGCTCGTGCAGTGCCGCCTGGCCCGGTCGCGGGGCGCCGCGCACCTCCCCGGGCTCCCTTCCTGCGAGTCCCCCGGCCCCACCGCGCGGAGGAAGGCCAGGCGCGGCGGGGACCTGCCACAGCCGGGCGGCCCCAGCTTGCAGCCCAGGCAGCGACCCCACAGCCGTGCAGCCCCCAGACCGGGAAGACTGGAACACCCACGACACAGCGGAGGAGCTGTCGCAGTGAGGCTCCGCCCAGGCCCGGGTCCGGGGATGTTGGAGCTAGAATCGCTGGAAAATGCTAACACGTAACCTTTGGTGCGTTAAGAACTTGGGAGGAGATTGCTTTTTGCTGGAGGTAGCGTTTGAACAGGCCTCTGCACCCTCCCGGCGGTTGGATTTTCATTCTTACCAGGCTCCGGCTGCAGGTCGGGCGGTCTTGTGACACTCAGGCTGCCACCCGAAAGGTCTGTTAGTGAGGCCCACCCGTGTCCGCCACCCGTGTCCGCCACCGGGCCGTGGGACTGGTCTGGGACATTTGTCCCACGGTGAAGTCAAGCTGTGGCTTACTCTGGTGCCCCCCAGAGAAGCCAGTGCGGGAAACATAATTTAAAGGAACGGGGCCAGAAAATCGCTCTGGTGTGGCTGAGACCCCGGCACAGAGAGGAGGCCCTCCCCAGCTCGCAGCGCACACGCTGGTCTCCGGGCCCTCGGCGCTGCACGCGCGGTCGCTCTGTCTTCATCTCACACCGTAAAACACAAAAAAAGCCCCAAGAAATAAATTTACGTTGCTGACTTACAACAAAACACAACAAAATGCCATTCTTGGTCTGCGGCACAGGGAAGCAGGGCCTCCCCCCCATCCCAGATGCCGGGTCCCTGCTGCTCTAAGGAACTGCAGACGCCTCGAGGGATGGCCTCCTCCGGGCCTGTGAAGAGCTCGAACAGGTTGAGGAAGAGTAAATTCTGTGTAAAGAGGGAGAAGTTGAATTCCATCAACTCCGGACCAGTGGGTGGGTCTTGAGTCTAGGGGAATTTTTAAATAAATGACGAAGTCGGTTCCAGAGCAGCGGGACAGGCACCCCACCTCCCGCGCTCGGGTCCCGGGCTGAGCACTCAGGGCTGCTGCCGAGCCGGGTCATCTCAGGCTGCCTTTGTGCACGGGAGCCAGAGCCTCTCTGGACGGCGGGGGGGGGCCGGGCTGTGCCTGGGGCCAGCCACACCGGCTGCACAGGCCTCCTGCCAGCCCCCACAGGCGTTCTGGACACACCGCCGGCGTTTGCGGGAGACAGGACATCAGAAAGCCGAGTCAGGACTCAGCAGGTTGGCAGCCAAAATAAACACAGCAGCTTGAGAGGATGCGCCCAGATTTCTGTCTCTGCGAAAGCTAAGCACAAAAGCAGCGTCAGACAAGACAGGGCTCCACGTGCGTGGTGGCCGAGGAAATGCCCGCACAATCCCGGTGGCAGCTGGGCGATGCCACACCCTGGGAGGCTGGCTGACCTCAGTCCTGTCCTGGCTGGTGTGTTTCTTTAACCTCTGTTGTGAGACGATTTCAGCTCTGCAGTGCGCTGGTTTCCTGCTGCCGCCGTAGCGAATCCAGTTGGTGCCTGACAGCAGTGCACCTGTTCTCTCTCAGCTCCGGGGCCCTGGAGGGCCGAGGCTCGGGGACCCGCTCCTCCCCTTTCCATCCCGCGCTCCTGGGCCGTCCTCAAGTCAGCAGTGGGCGTCGTGAGTCCCTGCGACTCTGCCACCATCGCTAAGGGGCCCTCCCGCCTCCCTGCAGGACCCCGAGGATGATGGCAGGGCACCGGGTGACCCAGGGTGGTCCCCACTGCAAGATCCTTAACGAAACCACACCTGCAGGGCCTCTGTGCTGCGTCAGGTTCCGCTCACGGGCGTGAGGACGCGGACCTGGATGGCACTGCGCCAGGACGCAAGGGCTCTCCAGAGGAGGCGTCTGCCTCGGGGTTCCCTTCGTACACGTCCCCCAAGCTCATACCTAAGCGGTTCTCAGTCGGAACCGGGGCCGGGGTCCCCACCTCTCCCGCATCCTAACCCTCGGGACCGCCGACCTGCCCCGGGGTTGAAATCTTGTCACTTTGAGGAGGTCACATACATGAATCACACCACGTAACCGTTGATACCATGTTTTTCATGCGGCATCGGTGGCTGTGCACGGTCTGCCCCTCCTTATTGGAGAGTCCGCTCCAGGGACGGACAGGCCAGTTCGTCAGAGGACATCTGGCTGTCTTTCCACTTCGGAGCTATTACGTATAAAACTGGACATCCACGGACGTGATTTTGTACATAACGTGCATAATTCCATCAATTCCCATTGCTCTGGGGAAAACGCCCAGGAGTGCAATCGTGGGTTGGAGGGCACAAGTGTGTCTAGTTTCTAGAAACTGCCACACTCTTTCTGGAGCGGCTGTGCACTTCCGTTCGCGCCAGCGAAGGTCCTGTTGCTCTGCGCCGTTGCCAGCATTTGCGGGTCTCTGTGTGTAGCAATATCTCATCGTGGCCGGGAGAGGCCTCGAGAACTGCAGGCTTCCCAGGAAGGAGGGATCGCCTGGAAACCGTGGCTCAGGGCACGTGGCCCGGCACCAGGTCCAGGCCCGCAGTGAGGAGGAGGCAGAGTCTCTTCCTTCGCTGCGTTGAATGTCACGAAGGGGAAGGGCAAATGCTGTGCGGAGCAGCCGGGCCGCGTGGACTAGACGGTGAGCAGCGACGGGAGAGCGCGTCCAAACGCAGACGGCTGGGCAGCGTCTCTGGAGAAGCCGGGGCTGGAGGAGAGGGTGTGAGGGCGGGCGCCCCAAGGGGAACCCAAGCAAGGGAAAACGAAACCGGCCCAACAACGCCGGAACCAACCAACGGGGAAACAACAAGGCCGGCCCCCCAGGGCCCTGAGTCAGGACTACCGGGAGAGCCCCGGCCCTGCGACCCCAGGGTCTGTGAACCTGTAGGGACAGAGTTCCAGCTGCGGCAGGGACCCCAGCCTGGTGGCTGCGACGGCGTGTCCTCTCCTGGATCCCTCCCTCGGGGATCCGGGCAGGGCCGCGGCGTAGCACAATAGTGTTTTGTTGTCGTCGTGCCCGAAGAGGTTACTGGAACAGTTGTTTAATTCTCAGCGGTGACAGAGATAACGTGAACAATGCCTTCTTGTGTGTCTACACGGCAGTTTCACGCAGTTACCTCGTTGTCACCGACAGCCACGAAGCCGGAGCGAGTGTCACCGCACGGGCTCCGAGGTCGGGGACTTCTGACGAGTGCGTCCTCCACGGGAGCTGCGCTGGGGCGGGCCGGGCCCGAAGGTCCCACGTCCACAGCCCACGGTCGCCTCCGCCGCACCCGGGCTGGCGGGTTCAGGAGAACAATCCCATGACCCTGTGTTCTCAGCCGCCGGGGCCTTTATCCCGTCCTTTGTGGCCTTGCCGGCGTCAGGCACCCGCCCCGTCCCGTTTGTTTACTCTCTCTGGCTCCTTAAAGCGCCTTACGAAAACCAATAAAAAGTGCTTAGGGCAAAAGGTCCCTCCGAGTGTGCTGGCTTAATCCTCGTACCTTGGCAAACAGGCGCAGTTCCTGTTTCGCGTCTTCGGATTTCTGCGCTCCTGAATGTTATTTGATGAAATTTAAGAAAACAGTAAGATAAAATTACCCACTTGGACGTTGAAAGGTTGAATTTACTCATAGAATTAAGTCTTTCCACCGCCCCTGTGTGCACACCATGCTGCCTGCCCCAGCACGGACCCCTCTCCCCAGGGACTGGGGTTCTGGGGGGCCTGCAGGGCAGGGGTCCCCACCAGGGTCTTGAGAAGCTGGGGCTGGGCCGGTCAGCGGCCGTGGGGTCCTCTGTCCCCGTCAGGTGAGATGGGGCGGGGGCAGTGATTTCACCTGAGACGTGCCTCCGGGCAGCGTCAGGCGCTTGCCTCAAACTTCCTGAGAGTCGGTGTGGCCACCGCGCAAGGTACAGGTTTGAGCCGCGATCCCAGGAGATGCCCCCGACTCCCACGTGCCATAGTCGGCCACCGTCACCCCTCGCTCAGGTTTGTGCAACGAGCTTCTACCTCCTCCGCTCGTGCTGGCCACGTCTTCCACCCAGAATGACCTTTGCAAAGCACAGGGAAGAGCACCCGCGGCAGCCTCACTGCCCCGAGAGTGAAGCCCAAACGTCCTTCGCTGGCCGTCCA